ACTACATGATAGCCCATAAAGTAATAAGTAAATGCAGAACTGAAATTGTACCATGCATAGTTTTAGATCAAAATGGATGAAATTAGAAATCAATGGAAAAAGAAACCACAGGGCCAGGGATTTAGCTCAGCGGTTCGGTGGCCTGCCTTGCAAGTGCAAGGACCCGAGTTCAATCCCCGGTACCGGAAAAAAAAAAAAAAAAAAACAACGAAAAAGAAACCACAGAAATTATGTATATGCATACTAATTAAACAATATATTCTTGGGTAATCAGTGGGTTGCAGAAGAAATCAAGAAATAAGACAATTTCTATAGTTAAATAATAATGTCAGTAAAAAAACAACAACAATCCAAAGCTAGTGTACAGAAGAAAATCAGAACAGAAATTAACTTAGTCAGGGCTGGGGATTTAGCTCAGTGGCACCGTGCACGCCTGCCTCACAAGCAGAAGATCCAGAGTTCAATACCTGGTACAAAAAAAAAACCACACATACATACAATTCAGACTAAAAAAAATAATAATAATCAATGAATCAAAGATCTGGTTCTTTGAACAAACAACAAAACAGACAAATCCTTACCTAATCTTCCCCCCAAAAGACACAAATCAGTACAATCAGAAATGAAAGATGCAATCTCAACACTTCCACAATCCAGATTAGCAACTGTTTGCACACCTGCATGCCAATAAATTTGAGAACTGAGAAGAAATGGATAGATTCCAAGGTATATAAGAATTACCAAAATGGAACCAAGAAGATATAAAAACCCTGAATGATCCAATAACATGGAACTAAGCAGTAATAACCTAGTAAGAAAAAGCCCAGGTCCTGATGGATTCACTGCTGAATTCTACAAGATTTCAAGGAAGAATTAATGTAAATATTCCTCAAACTTTTATTTTGAGACAGGGTCTCTCTGTACTTCAGGCTGGCCCTAAGCTCTGTATGGACCCCAGGCTATCACTGAGCTCACAGCAATCCTCCTAACCCAGCCTCAGGCTCTTTAATAAAATTGAAAGGGAAAGGGAATTCCCAAAGTCATTCCTGGAAACTGGTATCCTGATTCCAAAACCAGACAAGTATCCAACCAAAAAAGAAAACTGGAAGACAATCTCTTTAATGAATATAGATGCAAAAATCTTTAACAAGATATTGGCAAATGGAGTGCAACCAATCGTCAAAAGGTCATACATCAAGACCAAGTAGGATTCATCCTAGAAGGGCAGGATGGTTCAACATAGGCAAATCAATAAATGTAATATATCACATAAACAGAATCAAGGACAAAAATTACATGATCATCTCAGCTGATTCAGAAAAAGCTACTGACAGGGCCGGGGATTTAGCTCAGTGGTTCCAGCACCTGCCTCACAAGCACAAGGGCAGTTTGATCCTTAACCAAAAAAGAAAAGAAAAAGCTGCTGACAAAACCCAACATCCATTCATGATAAAAACTGAAGAAACCAGGAACAGAAGGACCTTATCTCACTCTGATAAAAGCCATTTATGACAAACTTACTGCCAACATCATATTAAATAGGAAAAAACTTAAAGCTTTCCTTCTAAAACCAGGAACAAAACAAGGATGTCCACTATCACCACTCCTGTTCGATACAGTACTTGAAACATTAGGCAGAGCAATCAGGCCAGAGAAAAAATAAAAAGGGCATGTATAGGAAAGGAAGAAGTCAAATTATTATTTGGAGATGACATGATTCTCTACATAGAGAATCCTAAAAAGTTTCATGAAGACTCACAAAATTAGTAACCAAATTCAGCAGTGGTTATTAAAGGATATAAAAATCATACAAAAAGATCAACTGCGTGCCTGTAACACCAATAATGAAGTCACTTAGAAGCTAAGGAAACAGTACCATTCACAATAGTAAAAAAAATAAATCCTTAGGAATTACTTTTTAATTGAGTTTTTTTTATTAATTTAATTTATTGGTACATTCTAGGTAGACAGTACAGTCACATTCATTACTGGGATCTCGTACCTTTACATGCCAGGTCTTGGTTCCCATTTTTTCCCCTTGTCCCCACCCTCCCTTCACCCCCTCCTCGCCTCCCCAATTCTCATTTTAAAATTGAGTTTATTGGCCCTTAGGAATCACTTTAATCAAGGAAGTAAAAGACTGCTTTAATGAAAACCGCTATACTCAGGAGATGGAAGACACCAGAAAATGCGAAGATATCCTGTTCCTGGACAGACAAAACCAATATAACCAACATGGCCATAATTCTAAAACTGACATAGATTTAACATAACCTCAATCAAAATAGCAACAGCATTCCTCACAGAACTAGAGAGAACAATCCTAAAATTTACATGGAACAAGAGACTGATTCTTGTTACCCAAAACTGCCAAAGTAATCCTGTGTAACAAGAGTAAAGATCATAATCCCATTATTTGAAGCTATATCACAAACTTACAGTGATAAAAACAACACAGCACTGGTACAAACACAGACATGAACACCAATGCAACAGAACAGAGGATGTAGAAACCACCCCAGGGACAGGTGGCTATCTGATCTTGGACAAAGGGGCCAAAAATATCTATTGGAAGAAAGCCTCTTTACTAAATGGTGCTGGGAAAAACTATTCATACGCGGAGGACTGAATATAGACCCATCTATCTCACCATGTGCTAAACTAAAAAATGGATTAAAGATCTAAATGGTTCGCTGGGTGTGGGGGCACACGCCTGTAATCCTAGCACTCGGGAGGCTGAGGCAGGAGGATTGATGTGAGTTCAAGACCAGCCCGGGCTACAAGGTGAGTTCCAGGTCAGTCTCAAATACATAGTGAGACCCTGTCTCAAAAAAAAAAAAAAAAAAAAAAGATCTAAATAGTAAAACAGAAACACCAAAACTGCTGGAAGAAAAAATGGGTAAAACTCTTGAAGACATAGGCCAAGGCCTATGTTTTTTAAAAACAGAAGCCCAATGGCACCAGAAATAGTACCAAGAATCAACAAATGAGAACATACCAAATTAAAAAGCTTCTGCACAGCAAAGATAACAATCAACAACGTGAAGAGACAACTTACAGATGGGAAAAACATTTTTGCCAGTTATTCCACAGAGGGCTAATATCTAGCCTATACGGAGAACCCTCAAAATTAACCCCCCCTAAAATAAAAGACCCAATAAAAAATGGGTAAGTGAAATGAAGACACTTCTCAGAACTATAAATAGCCAACAAATAAATGAAGAAAATGCTCTTAACACTGCTGCCCATTAGAAAAATGCAAATTAAAACAAGACTGAGATTCCATCTTACTCCAGAAAGAATGGCCAGCGTCAAGAAATCAGGTAATAAATGTTGGCAAGAGTACAGGGAAATAAACGAAGCCTTCTGTATTGTTGGTGGGAATGTAAACTAGTACAATCACTATGGAAATCAGTGTGGAGAGGCCTCTAAAAACTAAAAATAGAACTTTCATCCAGCCTCTCTATTCGGTCTCTTCCCAGAAGTGTTAAAGATATCACATTCCAGAGACACACGCAGCACATCCCTTCAGAGCAGCACAGTTATAAAAGCTAAATCTTGGAAGCAGCCTATATTACAGATGAACAGATAAAAATGTGCTATTTCCAGACAACGTACTCCTCTGACACAAAGGATAAACTTAAGTCATTTGTAGGGAAATGGATGAACCTTGAGAATATGTTGAGATAACTCAGAAACAAAAGTTTAAATATCATGTGGCCTTTCTTATATGAGAAACTTACAAAGAGCAAAATAAAATAGGAAAAAAAACATAAATTGTGTTGTATTCAGAAATGCAAAACTCAGCAACAATGAACAATAAGCAACGTCTACAAATGAAAATTTCCAGAGTCCAAGAAGGAAGCTTCTTGGTGGCTACTGCTATTCCACTGCCTGAAGGAGAGGCGGTGGTGTACACACAATCATGTGTGTTACAACTAACATGATGTTCTCACTCATCTAAATACATGTTCTATTTCAGGGGAGACAGTCTAAGAAACTCCTCCCTAACAAAAACAAAATCTGTATAAATGTTTTTAGGACCAGATTACTTAGCTTACTCAGTGTGAAGTGGCTAAACTTGTTTTCAGTTATACTGTTTCAGCTTCACTTTTATGATGAAAATGCCATGTACGGGAGCCTCACGTCCTATGAACGGCAACATGTTCTTACAGTGGAAACACTGGAACTTTAAAAATTCTACCATGTTCACAACGGGGCCTGAAATTTGGATGTCTCACTGCCAGGTGGCTTGAACCACCAGTCACATGTGTGTCTATCCCACTGAGTGGCTTTTTATTAATTTTAGTGGTAAAAGGACTGATAAGTGACTAAATCCATTCATACCACCAGTGGTACAAGCGGCCCAATGACTCAAACTAGTGGAAACATGTTAAGGAATCAACAGGAAGAACATTTAGCTTTAGAAACTTTAACACAGGATAATATTTTCTTCTCTACAACAATCTACCTTCTCATGATTACCATATCTCATTTTTGTTTCAATTTCTTAATTCTTTTGTTTGCACAGGGAAAATATAGACACATATCAATTCCAACTCATGATATCAAAATCAGACTTAGTATTTATAGATGTAACCTGTGCTCTAGTCATGCCATAGGAAGAAATAAGCTCTCCTTTCTGACCTCACCTCTGGTGTCCCACGAGGCTCCCAGAAGATTGACAAGGATGAGAAAGAGGTCTAGGGCTCACTTGGGGCTAAGGATTTAGATCTTCAGTGCCTTGCCTTTAGCAGAAGTCCTCCTTCCTTTTGTTTCTGAGCTGAGGTATCACTAAGTGGCCCAAGCTGACCTCAAACTTCTGAGCTTAAATGATCCTCCCACCTACCCCTCTTGAGTAGCTGGGACTTCAGGAGCACACCACTATATCCAGCCTCCCATTTCTTAATTCACAGATTAAACTTCACTCATACTCATGACTTAAAAAGTAAGTCTGAGCAAGTGAGAAGGTGACAGAAGGTCTAATGTCCTAGGAATGAAAAACCAAGACAACATGTAGGCACTGTAAAATTGTTTTGTTTTTTAATGGCAGGTCAAATATCCTGAAACATACACATATTCTGATAGTCTTCTAATCCCAGTTGAGTTCAAATATTAAAGTAACACACATGACCTAAGAGAATTCAATATTGTTCCAAGGCACTTACTGAATCTCCATGACTAGATGAAAACAACAACAATTAGGATGAACAATTAGACGGTATATAATATAAAAATAGCTTTTTTTTTGCTTACAATTTACAAAATGTATTATTATTACAATCTTTGATCTCTGATAACCTGCAATGCTGGCTGGATGAATCCAGCAATTTTAAAATTCAGAAACTATTTTCTAAAACTTCAGGGCAAATAATTTACAAATAAGGTACACAAAAATTTAGATCATGCAGAAATTTCTTACATCTTCTGTTAATATTATTTTATGACTGCAACTTTATCAAATTATATACCTACTTGCCCTGTACATATACAAAACAATGCATACATGATAAAACAGCAAAAGAGTAGTCCTTAAACTCAATTTTATCATAAAAGTATTATTGTATTAACAGGTCTACAAGCAGCGTGTAACAGGGTTAAGAGATATTAAGGCAATAATACTTGAAATTACAAAATAAACCATATGTAATACTTTTTCCTAATTGTAGTATAAGGCAGGTAGATGGTCCCAGAAAAAAAAAGATTAAGGTAACAATCTACACTGCTGTTAGTTCCACATTTTAAAGATGGAATACTGTAAATCTCGCATTCACTGGCACTTGAATTTTCCAGTATGACTGATTTAGCTCCCTGAATCATGTCCATTCTGAAGGTGGGTCTCTTGGTCCTCTGGGTTTTCCACAGCGATTACCAAAACCTGTGGTGAAAACACCAACGTAACCGGTCAGTGTTCAGAAACACTTTTATACTATTAAAACCACATCCAGACATCTTCATTTTGTCAAACAAGCAAATTTTGGGGCAGGAATTTGGAGTATGAACCAAACAAAACTTTGTAACTACAAACAACTATAAATTTATTGTGGGTAACTGAAAATAATTGCTTCTTTAAAAAAATACAGTGGCCAGGTGCAGTGCTGTGCACCTGTAGTCCCAGCTACTTGGGAGGATCCCTTGAGTCCAGGAGTTCAAGGCTGGGCAACATAGTGAGACCCCACTAAAAAAAAATTCCTAAAAATCTGACGAACTCATCACAAATAATAATAAAAAAAAAAACTCACATATTTTCACCGTTCCAACACCAAAGAACTGCTTATAAATTACATTTATATTTGTTTTTAATCTCAGTGGGGAACAGAATAAATCATTTTATTCTTACTGATTCATCCCAAGCAACTTTGATCACGTTTTTCCCCCGGCAAGCATCGTATCAGAACTTTAGTAAATCATAATAAAAAAGACTGACAGTTCTTCTTTAAGGAAATTCAGGAAGAATGGTGAATGACTTTCATGCACAGCCACCAGCAATAACAGGTTTTAAAATTAACACATTACCAATATCTGTGGCTTCTGCTGGACTTTCTGTTATCTGATCTTTCTTGTCACTTACAGTCAGTGGAGATCCTGCTGCTGGACGATCTAAAATGCAAAACAGAGCTCTTAATTAATCACCAGCCTTTGTAGCATCAGACACAGAACACTAATTGTTTTACTGAGGCAATGATTATAAAGAGCACATTTTAGCTGGTGCACACCTGTAATCCCAGCACCCTGGAAGGCTGAGGCAGGAAGACTGCAAGTTTGAGCCCAGCAGGGGCAATTTAATGACTTATAGAGGCCCTATCGCAAAAATAAGAAGGACTGGGAATGCCAAGGCCCTGGATTTAACCCCCAATATAACACACACACACACACACACACAGCACAGAGCAAACTTTGCTTCATGGTCCTCATAATTTTAGAAACCCCAATAAATAGAAATATAAGGGCAGTAAGCACAGGAAACCATGTTAGGTTCTCCAGACATACCTGCAAATGTTCAGCGAGCACTTCTGCAATGCGCAGATTCTCACGGTGCTCTTATTTCAGAAATCTGGATCTTGGCATAGTGTATTTCGTAAAAGTAGCTACATCGTGTGCATGTGTTCTAAGACAGCAACTGCAGCTGAAATGCTCTTACATGGAAATCAATGCCAAGCAAGTTTGTAGTTAATTAATGTACTTCTGCCCCCAAAAGCAGTGATTCTTTTGAGTCTTAGGATTTTTAAATTACAGTTGGTTTATGCATTTAATTATCAACACATAAGATTGGTAATGAAAGAAATGAACTCATTCATTCTTTTACAACCTTTTCAGTATCCCCTCTGCCTCTGTGAGAAATCCTTCTGGAACACTAGAGTATCAAGTCAATCTCAAGACGCTTATAGTCTACAGAGGACCACAAGGTGTAAAAGCCATTTATTCTGATCAAGGTCATATGAAAACTAAACAGTAACAGCAGCAGCAGCCAAGAATGGTATTAAGCCCTGTGGGCTGCAGACTGAACCCCTGGCTGAGGAGAGACAGACAGTCAATTAATTATTAGAGCAGCACGGGAAGTCTTTAATGAAATTACACACAAAGTGCAACAGGGATGGAGAGGCACGCAGATGAAACTAGTGGAAGTGAGGTATTTAGGGCCCCGTAAGGAGGAAAGATAATTTTATTTTTTGGTGCTGCAGATCGAATTCGGGACCTTGTACTTGCGAGGCAGGCAGCAGAACCACTGAGCTAAGTCCCTGGCACGAAAGATAATTTAAAAAAAATTTTTTTTTCTGTTTCGGTATTGGCAATCAAACCCAGGGCTCTGCGCTTGTCAGGCAGGGCTGTGCTGCTGAGCTCCATCCCTGCCCAGAAAAGATGATCTAGTCTTAAGGCCTCTCTATGCGCTCAGTGAAGTAAAGACCATCTAAGAGTGAGTGGGATCAATTGCTTTAGAGTAGGGGAAATGGGGAGGGTGGGAGCCAGAGCAGAGGTGGCGAACCCGTGGCACACATGCTAGAGTGGGCTCCCTAAGGTTCGCCAGCCCTGAGCCAGAGCGTGTAAGAGAGCAGGCAGTGCTGAGGGTGCAGCTAGCAAAGCTTAACCATACTCCCCAGCGGCGCTCAGTTATCCTGAGGGACCGAGCAAGACACATGGGAGTTGGGAGCAATTACATGGAGGACAATCTGAGTGTTAAGTTTTACAGAGAAAGAAGAAAAATCAGGAGCTGATGGATTGAGAAAATTAAAAAGTAATCAAGGAATCCAGCAGCAGCAGTTCTAAAAGCAACAGTACCAGTCAACTATCCTGTGACAGATGCAGCGTTTGACTCATGTATCAATGTTGACTTTCATTAAAGTTTTGCAGCAATCCTCTAAGGTGGGCACTATTATCTCTATTCACAGATGAGAAAACTGAGGCTCAGAAAGATTAGGTAACTTGCCCAAAGGCACACAAGAAAAACAGGCAAAAACAGGATTACAACTAGGTAGCTCAGGCTCAAAAGTTTTTGCTCTTTGCACTGTAGTACGGTGCCTCAGAAAAAGAGTGTAACAGGGTTCATGAGATGGAACAGATCCTTCGGGCCACGATCTAGAGTGAAGCACAGAAAGGGCTGAAGCAGACTGGTGACAACAGCTGGCTGAACAATGCCTGGCCAGTGTGCAGAGCTCAGTGATAAACAGCCGGCTGCTGCACGAGTGCCACAGGTTCGCCACCACTGGTACAGGCTGACCTGTGGGTGAGCTGCATGCCGATTTATAGAAAGTAACAGTATCTGACCTATTTTAGAGCGACAGTGAAAGTAACATGATAAAATTGCTTCCAACTTGGCATTACAGTCATTGATTTAAGATACATGATGTTACTAATTTCCTAAAATAGATGTAAGCATACGACAAGGAGGATTTCTAAAACAAATGGTTCTTATGGACCCAATTCCACCACTTTGGTAAATCTGGGACATTTACTCAAGTGAGTCCAACTTCTAAGTGTGTGTGTTCAATCCCCATCCCAGGGATTGAAGGTGGGGTCCTGTGCTCCACCACCGGGCAGGGGGCAACACCCACAGCTCCTAAGCATTTATAAAAAATGAAAAGTAAAATGCAGCTGATGTCTAAAATAAAACATTTTCCATTAACCTGTAACTATGGTAATGTGTTCCCATGACCTCGCAGATCAATCATCTCTGGAAGTTGATAGCAAAAAAGGAAACAGTATCTAGTGACTTACCACATTTTTCACTTCCAGAGGTTATCAAGCCCTGCAAGGGAGACATTGAACAGCGATTACAGCACATCCAAGTCACAGTTTAGTAGTCAGCTGTGGGTGCAACTACCTGGGAAACCAAGCCTATCAAGATCTCAATGTCACAAGGAAACAAAACAAGGGTGTCTGCAATTAGGCTTAACGTTTTTTTTTTTTTTTTTTTTGGTACGGGGGATCGTACTCAGGACTTTGCGCTTGTGAGGCAGGCAGCGGAACCACTGAGCTAAACCCCCGGGCCCTAGGCTTAACATTTTTAAATGTTACACTGTTTTATACTGCGAGGAGAAGCTTCTTGATAAAAACTCGGACAGTGGAAGCTACTGCACAGTGGAACACACAGCTGCATTTCATCCATGGCATCACAGATTATTAAGACAACACTAGGGTGACATCATTATTTTATAATGCCAACTAACATGATCACATTATTTCAGAGATATTATAATAGCAGAAAAAAATTTAACTATCAAAACATTCCCTAAAAAATCCAAGAGAAAAACCTAAAGCGGCCGGAAGAGTTATACTGGGGGGAAAGAACCTGGGATAGTACTGTGACTCCCCTAATAGTTATGCTCACATCTCCAAAAGGACGGGGAACATGGCATAATTTGCAAATTGAGAAAACAACACCCACGATGTTCTTATGAAGGTAGGTTGTCCCTTTCAAAAATTTCCTATCTTACATTTTATATAGCATGAATGATATCAAAACTTATGAACTGTATATAATGGTACTAAGATGATAGTATTATAACCAACAATTGTACAGTAAATTGGCAAGCATAAATATTAAGCTATAGATTCTCCAATAAAAAGACTCACTTCAGACTGTTTTTGCTCAGACCATTTCTGACTGTGAAGTTCACTCCATTCAGATCCTATAGGTACATCTGAGAGAAATAAAATCTTGTAATTAAAATTATACTTTGAATTCTTTTTTTTTTAATTAAAAAAAAAATTTTTTTTTTTTTTTTGAGACAGGGTCTCACTATGTAGTCGAGACTGACCTGGAACTCACTATGTAGCCCCAGCTGGTCTCGAACTCACAGCGATCCTCCTGCCTCAACCTCCTGAGTGCTAGGATTACAGGCATATGCACATGCCCGGCTTATACTTTTAATGCTTGAAATTTCTTTGCATTAAAGTCCATACAAAAACAGGTCCTAAGGGCCGGGGATTTAGCTCAGCAGTTCGGTGGCCTGCCTTGCAAGCGCAAGGACCCAAGTTCAATCCCCGGTACCAAAAAAACAACAAAAAAACCCCCAGGTCCTATATAACTTTAGAAACTATCAGTTGCATAAAATGCAGTTTCTATCCATTCTATCCAACATCTGAGTTTCCTTCTTTAAACTGATTTCGACATCATCCTATCGTGATCCAGAGATACCACGACAGACTTGGGTAACTGAAGTAGTCTGCTTCGCTGTTTTCAACATCCTTAAATGCAACTCAAATTAATAATGCACTGGCAATGACTCTCGGTAGACTGTGAGCATCTCCAGAGAACACGAGATGCTGTAATGTTCACACTGCTTCTCCTCTTTGTTAGAAAAGGAACGGAGAAGGACGTCATTCATGCTTTGAAGGATGAGGCTTTTTCTCAGTTCTTACTAGCTAACCCCAGTGGTCTTAAACACCAACAACACCAATAACACGCTGACCCAAAATCCAGACTGAATGTTAACTTACATTAAAAAGAGAAGCAATGATATAAAGCTCTCCTTAATGCTACTTTTTTTGTTTTTTGTTTTTTGAGACAGGTCTCACTATGTAGTTGAGACTGACCTGGAACTCACTATGTAGTCCAGGCTGGTCTCGAACTCACAGTGATCCTCCTGTCTCAGCCTCCCGAGTGCTGGGATTACAGGCATGCACCACCACGCCTGGCTTTCCTTAATGCTACTTCTAAAGAATGCAAAGATACCAATTGCAAATGTATTTATGATTGCATGTCGATGAACTCCATTATCTAATATATAGTTACTACCCATCTTAGGAAGTAAAATTAAAAACAGTTTTAAAGTATTTTTCAAATAATCAATGAAAAAAGCATGTGACTAACAATTCAAACCTGTTTTTGAATTTGATTCAACACATAGTCACTAGATTACAATCAGCCATGTGCTCTAGAGTTTATTATTACAGTGTAAAGTAAACGCAAAAACAGAGAAGAGACACTCACTATGTTCACCTGCTAGTACAAAAGATTCAGGAGTTCTTTCAGGTAGGGGAGGAGGTGAGTCTTCACTAACATCAACATCTGAATCAAATACATAAAATTCAAACAAATTATTAAAAATTAAAAACACGTCATCCAAGCAAAACCAGAAAGCATCTTTGGGACATTCCAGAAGTCCCTGTCACCACTATCTGAGAGTGTGAACAGACTTCTTTGAGAGGGTCTCCCGAGCCCACTTCCCTGGTGGGGAGTCCCTGCTGCTGTCTCGTGCTGCCTGCACTGGACCGCTCAGCCCTGGTGATTTCCACCTGCTGTGCACAGTGCCTTCTCCTGTTTGCTTCTTAATCTAAAGCATTTCAGGTAGCTGTGTATCTTTTCAGTCATGTTGTAGATACCAACAACCAAAGTGAAAAGAAGTGCTGGCAGTTTTTCTAATACATAAAAGTATAGCTATCAAACATTTAATGCCTTGTGAACAGGGGCATCTGTCTGTACTCTCAGAATATTGATTAAAGTCATACAAAGGATTTCACCAGTAAAAGCAAACTTAGCTCCTGAAAAACACAACCAACATACCAGGTAAGCCTTGTTGCTCAGCCTGTAACTGAAGATAGCTTAGAGTACTCAACCTGAGTTTCCACTGGAGAAGAAAGCATGACCACTGGATTCCATGCAGACACTCAGGGTGGGAGGATGGGACAGAGAGAGCAAAGATGAAGATCCTGTACAGCATAGTTTGTCTGCGCCAGGCACACTGTCCTCTTATAAAATGGCAGTGGGTAATTTAGTGAGGCCATGTCTCAAAAGTGTGGGGATACAACTCAGTGCAAGGGCTCGAGGTTCAATCTCTGGTACCACAAAACAAATGGCTGGGCTTGGGGGTGAACACTTGTAATCACTGCACTGAGGAGCCTGAGGAAGGAGGATCACAAGTTTGAGGCCAGCCTGGACCACATAGCCAAGTTCAAGGCTGCCTTGGACTTTACAGTAAGACTCTGCCTCAAATGAAATAAAACAAAATACTATACAACACACACGTCTTAGCCATAATACTCTGCTAACTCACCACATTAAAAAAAATAATAATAAAGAAAGAAAGAAAGAAAAATCAAGAAAGTTTCCAAAACCACAAGACAGCTCTGAGTGCTGGTCCTCCTGTACAAGAAAACATGGACCGACCAAGTCCTCCCGGGAGAAGGCTCCAGACCATCAGCACAGTGGACATGGCCATGCGTCTCCTGTGTGCCTGTCCCCTCAACTCCAGGGACGAGGAGGCCGTATTTATGTGCGTCTGAGAGTCCTTCCCTGGCAAAGCCATCTCACTGGCAACAGCTTCGCCTCCTAACTGGGCCTCAGCCTGCCCTGTGCCCTGATCACTGTGCACGGGCAGACTTCTCTCAGTCACACAGCTGTGCAAACCCCGCACTGTGGAGCCCACTGGCCACTCAGACACTTTCAAGAGGCCTCAGACAGACTGAAACCAGAACCACTAGACCCTGCTGGGCATGCAGAAGGCCCAATGCCAAAGACAAAGAACAATAATCTACAAGGGAAGTAATAAATTATAAAGCAATCTACAGGGAAATGATGAGCAACAATTGTTAAGTTGCAGCACTGAATATCACAATGGGAAATCTGCAGGGGGAATCAAATCACAACCAGTGAGGGCACAGGAAAGGAACACTGATGTCACATTCACAGCTATCTTGGTTCTGAAACCTAAATAAACCTGCTAGAACAGAATCGAGCCTAACTATCCTTTGTACCCATCATCACAAGCCTGGTCGTGAGGCGAAACTTCTACTGAACGATCGTACCACACCCTTCCTGTCCTCACCAAACTGTGTTTCCAGTCAACAGTTAAAAAGAAAAAGGAAAATCCTCTAGGGAGAAAAATCCCAAATTAAAATCTGTCTACAGAGCCAGGGATTTAGCTCAGTGGTTCTGCTGCTTGCAGGCACAAGGACCCAAGTTCAATCCCTGGTACTGAATAAATAAAATTTGACTATATATTTTCTTGTATAGTTACAACTTGGTAGTTACATTTCCCACTCTTAAACTGAAAGAAGGGAGATTAAAAACTGGTACGTGTTTATTAAGATAGCCATTATCTTCTAAAGATCCTTCACGTACATCAAGAAATAAGCTAACTCAGAGTTATGGCACACTGTTAAAATCCCAGGATGCAGGGAGGCTGAGGCAGTAAGTTCCCAATCTGAGCCCAGTCTGGGCACTTTCTTTTCTTTGCCCCTCCTTCTTTTTCCCTCCCTCCCTCCAAGCTGAGGGAGAAACTGGCTCTGCAGAGGGGGTTGGGGCTGAGTAAAAAAGAGAAAAAGCAATAAAAGGATGCCCTGGAGAAAGCAGGGTAGGCTACCATGAAGAAAGTCATAACAGCCAAGCCTAGGTAATTTAGTAAGATCCTGTCTCAAAATAAAAAAATGGGCTGCGGATGTAGCACAATGTGAAGGCTCAGGATTCAGTCCTCAGCGCCAGGATGGATGGATGGACAGATGGACAGATAAATATAGATAAATGGAATTCCACAGCTTAACAGACTAGCTTAGACCCTCATCTACTCTATGAAATACATTCTCAAAACACATACATATGTATAAGTAGGAAGATAAAAATACCATAGCGTTGGCAGTAATATATATGTAATATTATTATGTATTATGTTACATATATTATAATATATATAGCATATATAGCATATAAATATATACACCCTGGTTTGCAAGTGCTTTTGTTTGCAAACAATTTGGTTCACAAACATTAACATTTGGCAAAATTCTGTTTTTGTTTGTGAACTCTGAGCCATCTTTCCCCCATGAACATGAACATGGACCATCTTTTCCAAGATCGGGGAATGAATTCAGTTTGGGAACCGAGGCACCATTGTACTAGGTCAGGAATACAAAAAGAAGTCACTTCTCAAGTTCACAGCAACGACCGTGCCTGCGCATCACAGGAACCGGTCTGCACATGTCACTGCAGACGTTCACCCACATGTGAACGACCGCCAGTCGTCACTGCAGGAGCACAGGCTTACATGCCTACTCTCCAAGCTCTGGCCTGCCTAGAAGGCAGTCACGATTATCCACAGCCCACGGAGAGGAGCGAAGGACCAGTGATACCTCCTGGGAACCAAGTCCATGAATGATCTTGGAATGCTGAGACTTCTTAGAGAAGAGTAATTAACTAGACAGCTTTGACGACGAGGTATGTATACACACCTCTCACTACTGGATGGATTAGGCTGTGCAGTTCAAGTCTTCCAATATCGCTCTTGGGCTAGACTTAAGGTACAAAGTAACATCATTTGCCAAGTAATTTTGAAGAAAGTTTTTTAAATAAGTATTTTTCAGTTAAGGAAACAGAGAAATAAAAGATAAGAGTTGATTCTGAGAAATAAAGGTGAAATGAAATATTCAACCAACATACAGTACTTATGTCACTGCTACTTTAAGCAATTCTATTTTCCTACATTATTTGTAAGTATTCAATCAGATAATGTTTGGACTAACACAAAACACTAAAAGCTGAAACAGGGGAAGAAAAGGCAAAGAGATTCTCTAGTCCCAGCACTCTGGGAGGGTGAAGTAGGAAAACTGCAAGTGCAAGAACAGCTTGGGCAACTCTGAGACTCTCAAGACAGTGTATTTAAAAGGGGCCTGGGGACTGGGTTCAATCCTCAGGGAAGGAAAGCAGGGAGGGAGGGAGAGAATTCCAACCACGAAATATCTTGGAAAGACAGAACCCCTAATACAATGTGATCAAATGAAATAACAGCAAGTACAATCTTATTTTTAAAAACTCAGTATCTGAAGCTATTCTATTTTGCTGCAGGCTCTACACCAAGGACCGAGACGAAGTGTGCAGCGTGGCCCACACCGGGTCCTTCATTACCTTTGTCAGCACCTGGACACAGCGCTCCCGCCACGTCGTGTCCAGCAATGGACATGGGCACCACCTTCCTGGCGGAAACGCTCTCAGTACTGGTGGCAGCAGACACTGTGGCACTTGCTGTTGAAATGCTAGTTTTGTTCTTGGTCCCAGCACCATCAGAGTTCCTGTCATCTGAGTCCGAGTCATCCGAATGAAGAGGGTTCATGAAACTCAGGGGGACCTGGAACATTGGCGAACCAGTGGGCTCCTCGTCGCGGTCCCGGGCTTCGCCTGGTGTGGCGGGGTTGGGGCTTGAGCTCAGAGTTTTTGGGGCCAGACAGTGACTACCTGGGGACCTGTCTTCAGAGGCGTCAGGGGCAGAGGTGGCGTTTTCAGGTCTGTGGAATGACCACGCCGCGTGTCCCTTCCTGTCGAGGGGCAGGCGGTCGGGCCTCGGGGGGGTGTCTGCACTCAGCCGGGGCTCTTCACTGAGCTGGGGGGTGCTGCAGTCCGCACAGGAATTCAGGGACAGGTCATCGGCTTTCACATCCCCAGCACTTACCTCGGGGGACTTCGACACTTTATCAGCTGTACAGGATGAAGCAGATTTTATTTTAAATGCATGTCCTCTATTCAAGAGTGTGTTCCCATCAAAACTTTTTGGTCCCTCTTGGAGAGGGACCTTCTTAATTTCAAAACTTAAATTTCGTTCCAATTTTTTATCTATTTGTTCAGTTGGTGATTCGTTTTTCCCGGGAAGGTCTGCTGATTTATTATAGTTTCTGTTGAGGTCTGTCGAATGCTGTTCCGACGAAACCATGTGCAACACTGGCTTCGGGTGGTATCTGTCGTTGTCCTGCCACACCGTAGTGACCGTGGGGAATGCGGACGGGGGAGAAGGTGTCAGGATGGGCGGCACTGGGTGGGGCTCTGGAGGCTGAAGGATTTCTTCCTTCGCGTCTCCTTCCACAAGACAACTAGAAAACATGAACAGAGTATTTAAGAAAGCCTTTCCCTCTCAAAATAAGTTGACAGACGACAGTAAGATAACGACTATTATTTAAAGACATTAGAATAGCTATAAATTTAAAAATGTAATTTGTCAGACTGAGAAAATTTAATACTTTCTAAGGTAATGCACACACACTGTTTAAACACTCGTGGAACACAAGACATTTGAAGAAAAATTCAGTGTGACTCCTCCCCTCCAGGGAATTTCCTCCACATCTCAAAGGGCATCTTCATTTCCCAGACCCCCTCTCCCGACGTCCTGCTGCGGTGTCCTTGTGCTCACCGCCACAGTGCTGTCTTACTGCACTCTTCCTACGCAGAGCCCTCGGAGACTTGCCACACCACGGCATCTCTCCTCTCTGACTCGCTCCTCGGATCTTGCCCCTCCTCTCAGCGAGATCAAGCTCTCTGGGGGCTGTTACATGACTGACACCTGGACCCCAGGACCACACTCCCCCAGCCACACAGGCGGCAGCTCCAGACTCTTTCCCAGGCAGGCCTGCTCTGCCTGCTGTGTCCCCCCTCTGATGAGCTGTGAGCTCTACCTGCTCTCCAGAACTCTACACAGAGGGCAAGCTTCTCCAGATTCAAAGCTACTCACGGTTTTATTCCTTTAAAACAGAATCTCACTAAGCTGGCTCTGAACTTGTAATCTTCCTGCCTCAGCCCCCCAGACCCTGGGCTTAAAGATACATGGCACCACGCTGGCCTTAAAGGTGGAGTTTTTTAAAAAGGCATAGTATTCATGGTATATCCCCTAGGAGACAGGATTCCAGAAGCCGAGTCAGGTGTGGAAACAGGCAGCTGGGGACCTCTCCACCGCACACACAGGCTCTTGCTTCCAGTCAGGCACATAAACTACAAGAGATGGACCAGCGACTCTGAGGCCTGTTGGGCGATGCGTGCACAGCACATTCTAGTGCTGAGTACACCGTGGTGCTGGAAGGAACACCTGCCCTCACCATCTGGGAACCTCTGGGGTTCTTTGAAAAGAACCATCTTGCTCCTTAGTGGCTGCCCTCACCTAAAGAAAGCAAGTGTTAGCTCTCTCCAGTCTGCTATGTCTGTTTGTGTTAGCTGATGTGCTTTCCACTGTTCAAATGTGCTATCATTTCCCCCAATTTTCTGTTTCTTACATTTATTTTATTTCCCTCCCTATCATTTTAGGGAGTTTGGGTGAAAGACCACAGTTAAATGTGTTATATAGCCAATAGTACTGTTAAAGCTTTAAAAAGTAGTATCTGTTCATGACGTTGACAGGAAGGTAGTAAGTGTATCTTTGGCTACTCCGGTTTGGTTGATAGTTACACTCTCAGATTTTTCATTTTTTCCTGTATGTGTCTGTCAGGTCTGTTGAAACAGAGTTTAAAATGCTTATACAGTACTTTCATGTACACAAAAATGACAAATCCAGTCACACACAAGCACAGGAAGTCACACACTGATTTTCCAGTATAGTGACAAATGTTCATTTTAAACTAAAGTGCAAGATCTGCCAATAACCTGGACATGGAGCCCACACCTAGGATCCCAGCACTCAGGAAGCTGAGGCAAGAGGATCCCCGCTAGTGCAAGGCCAGCCTGGGCCACACAGTAAGGTAAAGCCAGCCTGAAATACATAGTGAGACCTTGTCTCAAACATACAAACAAACAAACAAAAAACCCAAACCAAACAGTATTAAGATTAACCAAATAAATCAGGTGTGGTGTTGCAAGCCTGAAATCTCAGCACTTGGGAGGCTGAGGCAGGAGGATCGCTGTGAGTTTGAGACCAGCCTGGGGTACATAGTAAGTTTCACGTCATCTCAACTACATAGTGAGACCCTGTCTCAAAACAACCACAAAAGACTGACCAAATAGATACTACAATATGACTTGTGTAATCCTATCCTAAATACCATTCTTAATTCACCTGTTCTGGAATTTTTTTTACCTCTCTCAAACAAAACAAAATATCTGGAGTCCTATCATACACACACTGGGCATTTTCCCATCCCAAAAATAACAAACAACACATTTAGTTCCCTAAGCAGTACTGAAAGACACTGAAAAATATGGCAAGAAAGGGAGCCATGCTGTGAAGGCCTAGAATTTCATGCTACAAGTTTGGACTTAACAATAAAGAAAATTTACATTTAATTTGGCCAAGTCTCTCCTCTTTTTTTTTTAAGAGTAGGAAAAATTTATTGAGGGAAAGAAAGCTTCTGTCTAAGACAGAAGGGGGACTGGAAAGTGGGTTGCATGCTCACCCTACCTTTCCCAAGATGTTTTATACAGCAAAGCCATGTGATGAGACGGGTACAAAACTGTAAGACCCAATGGAAAATTACAAGGTGGGGCAAAATCATGACCAAACTAAAGGATTACAAGTACAGTCCCCACATAATATTGATTAAATGGGGGTCACATGGGGAGCAAGTGTACAAGGATTTTCAGTAAGGGTGGGGGTCAGGGATATTTCCTGGAGAGGCTGGGTTAAGACCTTGGCCCCCCCGTCCCCTACCCAGGTGACTGATACCTATTGATATCAAACAATGCTATTTACCCCTAGGGGAAGAACAACAGTATAGTAGTTTTTCTCCTTTTACGTATCTTGGCCAAGTCTTAATTTGAAACAGCACATAACTTTTGTCTCAAAGTGAGGTTTTATGAAAATTTGGAAAAATTTATTTTCTTAAAATAATACAGGAATAATTCTAAGTGGTATGGAAAGATTATGGAAGAAAAGGAACAACCGAGAAGGTAGAATACTGTGCTTTAAAAACCCAGAACTTCAGCAAGGCCATGGTGGCACACACCTGTGACTCCCCCAGCTGAGCCAGGAAGAGCACAGGCTTGAGGCCAGCCTGCGCAACTCAGAGAGACCCTGTCAGTGCTGGGGCGGTAGCTTAATGGCAGCACTTGCCTAGGCTTGGGCTCAGTACCCAGGGTTGCAAAACAAAACCACCCCAGACGCCAGGGCTGGGGCAGCTCAGCAGAGCCACATGCTTTGCATGCTGGATGGAGGTCCTGGGTTTAGTCCCCATCCCCAAACAAAAAGCATAGGAAAATCCCTGTGTAATCCCACTTTGTGGCACCTATAGCTACCCTGAAAAAGGAAGAAGGGGGAAAAGGCAAGACATGTGTTGTTTTAACAGTTATTAGTGAGAGCGGTAAAAGAGCCAAGAGAAACAAGTCCATCTGTGCTAGTAACAGAATTATTCATCTGCACATATCTTTTCCTACCTGCATAGGATCCTTGGCAAGCATGACTGGTTCACTCATTGTAAGAAAATGGAAATTATTAGAGCAGCAAAATTTTAACATGTATAAAAACTAGTCCATTGGTGGGCATACTATTACATTTGTGGGCATACAGTATACTACTGACATTCTATCAAATGAAAATTAGTACAACAGTAAGCAATCAACTGCCATACCTACGCTACATCCTAAGAAAAAGAACAGTATGTCAGTTGTTCTGAAATATGAAAATTTGCTATTAGAATTAATGGTCAGTAAAAATACAAGTATCCTTTCGAAGAAAATGTTGGAAGCCATACCTGCGAGTCCGTGGGGGTTTTGGAGGAGGAGAATCTTGCTTTTCAGTATCTACGGAGCTGATCATATTTTCAGGGGTAATTTCATTCTGCCAAGGGAAAAAAAAAGCTTCACTAAAAGAAGAAAAATAACTTCCTGTTCACATATTTCAACTAAATTATTTTTAGCTTTAAAAATTTTAAAACAATGCCAATTTTGCCAAATAACAAAATGTGTCCTACATTCTGGCTCTGGGTTTTAGCCTAAAGGACCAAACTTGCAGAAATCTGCATCCAAATACAGCTCATCACCAATTACCAAAAAGATCAACCGTGCACTTCAGTGCCTTTCAAATGCTACTCTAAAAAACCAGACTGCCCAAGAAAACAAATAACCAAGAAGACAGCTTTTCTTCAGGAACTGCTATGACCAGGGTAAGAGGGGTCACACTGTCCTAACTTCCACTACTGCCTGCACTTTTAAAGCAGGTTCCAGCACTGTTTTAAAAATTCCTTGCCCACTCTTCCTATTAGGGAACACAGCTCTTGGATCAGCAATTGCACAGACCCCAAAGAGGAGGAGAGGTCCATCCTGGGACCAATGACATCCTCACCACACACAGCTACAAGAATCTCAGAGAATCAGGGCTATGAAGAGAGGAACTGCGGAACGGTTACAAAGGCTGTCTGGGTCACTGCATTCTCAAATACCTCCCAGTCGCCTACCCAGGCACCTTTATTACATCTTCGATAATTCATTAAAAAAATTGTGTGCATACACTATCAATAAGGAACTGTAAAGCTGTTTTGTGTCCATTTGTGTTGTGTTTGAATCAAATGGTGTTTCTCACTGGTCACAATGGTACTTGCTTAAGATACCAGCTACTTGGGAGGCTGCTTAAGTCCAGCGGCGGTCTGAGAGGTCAGTCTGGGCAACATGGGAAAACCTCATCTCAAAGCAAAAGCAAAAACAAAAACAAAAACAAAACACCATTCCACCATGCCTTTTGTGGCAACTTCGTCTTTCTGTCACTTCAAATACTTATAACTAAAGCCAACAGAGACCACCACCTCCCAGTACTGTTCGGAGCAACCGTCACGTATGAAGAGGGCCAGATAGAGCAGGCTTCTCTGTGCTGGGAGGGTGAAGGCCCAGGATGAAGAGCCTTAATTTGAAATTCATCTTACATTTATGAAATAACGTTTTAAGTATATCAAAATAGTGAACATCTCCTTTTATATAAATTATACCAAAGAATCGGGCTGAGGATTAGCTCAGGGTGCCCACATGTGCTTCACAAGCACAAGGGCCTGAGTCTGTTCCCCGGTACCAAGGGGAATACAAAACAAAAGATTCTATTCCATATTATGAAATATTTGCTCATAAACAGAATGGTTATTTGACAGGCTTGAACTAAAGGGAGAAAGAGATGGCGACATGCAAGGCCTTCTCACAGGGCAGCCCTTATGTTAATGAAGGGAAAAGGCCACCCACGCAAAACTTTCAAACCTACAGTTGTCATCTTGCTGACAAAGTAAACACTGAGCCCCTAGTATCACTGGCAAGAATGAGGTTAACTTAACACCCTGAGATCACAGTTTAGGTAACAAATCACTCATTTGGCAAGTGAAGATATTTTAAACAAACATTATGGGAAATGGACACAATCATTTCATGGGGGAAAGGGAAACCAAAAGTTATAAAATTCTGCAATTCATAGGTTCAGTGATAAAGATGTAAGAAAACTCTACCAAGGATATAGCTCAACTCCTTGAAGGACAAGGTGATTCTATATAAAAACAAAATAACAAACTATTAGAAAAGAGAAAGAAATGAAAAACAGTATTTTTTGTCAGGTCACAAGTTTGAACATCTAATAAGATCTCTCGGGGCCAGGGATTTAGCTCAGTGCTTCTGCTGCTGCCTGCCTCACAAGCACAAGGACTGAGCTCAATCCCCAGCACCAAAAAACAAACAAACACACCAAAAACAAAAACAAACAAAACAAAGACAAAGACAAAAAACCCCAAACTCTTATGGCTAAAATGACAATGAATTATAACATGCCAAAAAGAGACTTATTAATGGCAGCCCCATAATTCTGCTTAATTAAAAAGCATAGCATATACCCAAAGGGCTATAAAATTCCATGCCAAGAACAAAATAAAATTTACATAGAATCAACTTACAATTATTTAGGTGGGGGTAGAAAAGAGCAATACAATAAAAATTTTAAGAAGTGATTTATATTTAAAAAAATTAAAAATAATTATAACTTTTGACCTAAGATCTTTTTTTTGGGGGGGTACCAAGGATCGAACTTGGGTCCTTGCGCTTGTGAGGCAGGCAGCGGAACCACTGAGCTAAATCCCCAGCCCTTTTTTCCCAGTTTTTTGAGTCAGAGTCTCACTATGTAGTTGAGACGGACCTGGAGCTCCCTATGTAGCCCAGGCTAGTCTCGAACTCACAGCAATCCTCCTGCCTCAGCCTCCCAAGTGCTGGGATTACAGGCATGCGCCACCATGCCAGGCCCCAGATCTTCCTTCTTAATGAGATATTTATCTATTTCACACTTTTCCTCCTGCTTCATTTACATTATTCAACTTGGATTGGAGTCATCAAAAACCCATCATGCTAGAGGCAGAAATTGAAAGAAGGAAATGAGTTGTTACAGGTTAGATAAAAACAGTAACCTACATGGATAGTCTCATGTTGAAAAGCAATTTAACAAAGCTGGGCGTGGTGGCACACGCCTGTAACCCCAGCACTCAGGAGGCTGAGGCAGGAGGATCATTGTGAGCTGGAGATCATCGTGGGCTGCACAGTAAGTTCCAGGTCAGTCTCAACTACATAGTGAGACCGTCTCAAACAAAACAAAACAAACAATTTAACAATCAAGCTAAATACCACATCTTGTTCAAAAGTAAAATTATGCTAAAATTCACAGATCAAGAAAACCTACCCCTTCATCAGTAATTTTCTGGGCTCCATGAATTTCATACAACTGCAGCTGTTTTTCAAATAGCTGTGCAATAGCTCTATGAACAAGCTCATATTGCTCCTATTAGGAAGATAAATGACACATGGGGGAAAGATTTAAATAAAATGAGGAAGCATTTGATAAACAATATCGCTTGTAAAATGAAATACACAATTGTACCTTTGTTTGAACTGCAGAATGCCTCTGTGTTCTCATTTCTTGTATTAAATTAAATACATTAAATTCCTCTGGTATTTTCTAAAACAAAGAATTCAGTATAGACATTTATCAGTTTTCAACAACATCAAAACAGGAAAATATTCATCAACTAGCAGGGCTGAGACACCTGCGGACATCTGTGTCCCTACCATGTGACAGACACCGTGGGCAGCACTGCGGACTGAAAGCCAGCTTGGTCCTCAGCAGCGCAGCCCAGGAGCCGGTCTATGACAGACAGGGCAGGAAATACACACGGGCACGGCAGACTCCAGTGTGGCTTATCCAAGGACTGAGACCTCCACGTGGTTAAAGAGGTGGAAGGGGAGAGGAGAGAGGGGTCTGGGTCACACTGTCAACACTGTAAGGTCTGATTTCCTCCCCAGGCCAGCGCCTCCCAGCCTGGCTCGGAAATGAGCAGTGACAGGAGCCAGGTGAGAATGTGGACACCACAGGCTCTGCCGTGAAGCTGCCCAGACAACTCCTGTACACGTGGAACTGCGACTACGGCACGTGGCAATCTCGCCATCAGCGCACTGACACTGCTGACGTTTCTATCAAAAAGATGAAAGTGAACAGAGGAGAAGCTGGTTGAGGTTTACTGAAGGAGAACTGTGAGAACTTGTGAAAAATAAGCGTATTCTGGAATAACAAGAAAAGTTGAAAATTATTTGCAAGTTTACTACTTTGAAGTCTTTATAGACATCCAGAGATTTTTCCCATCTGCTCAGAACTAAGGCCTAAGATTGTATTAATGTTAAAGACAAATTCAATCAAATGGGGCCTGTGATCAAAATATGCAACTTCTGAAATGTTTTGAACACTTCAAAATTCTGAAGAAACTTCTGAAATTTTGTTGGCTTGCATTCATTTAAATGACTCTTCCCATAGCAGTTTAATCTCTGACTTTCATACTAAAATGACAAAATCTTAATTAAAATTTTCATGGAGTTACTGCAGTTCTTAAGTGATACAAAAATAAAATTCAAACCCGAGGACTTTTTAAGGCACTATTTGAAATAAATATTCCCCAGAAAAAATAAAAAATAGAACGAGAAGCAAAAAAGGGAGAAAGATGTGGGAAGAAAAAAACGACAAGAAAAGAGAAACTAAACACTGCAGTGACTTTTATTTTCCAACACAGACTGACAGAGAGAAACTGTAAATCTACTCAGGATTAAAAGTGTGGGCTGGGGATTTAGCTCAGTGGTGCCGCTGCCAGCCTTGCAAGTGAAAGGACCCAAGATCGATCTCCAGAACCA